ACCCACGGCACGTCGCATGCACCGTAGAGACTCCTCTGAGATGCCCGTAGAGCCTCTGAGACGCCTCTGAGAGACTCCTCTGAGATGCCCGTGTGCGTCGACCCCGGGCTCTCGCAAGCCACCCAGAATTCTACCTCCAGGAGGCCGTTGTATATGGAGAGCGCAGATGAGATCACGAACCCGTACCACGACCAGCCGCTCCCGACCCCGCAGGCAGAAGTGGCCACGAGGCCAATGATGCAGATCCACACGCGCCTCAGGTAGATTGCCTTCCAGATATTCAATCAAAACAAAGACGGCGAGCAGGACCAGGAGCGCAAGGCAGCTCGATGCCAGCAGGGCGACGAGCACCGAGTCCATGGTGGAGAAGGTCAGAAAGAACGCCGTGGCTGCAGCGCACCACCCGAGTACTGCACGTGAAATCAGGATAACGTTTAAGACGTTACCCTGCCTCTCTGCAAACCCCTCGGTCTCAACCTTCAGCGCATGCGTCGGGTCGTAGCCAGGCCCGAGGGCTCGCTCTCGCCAGGGCTCGCTCTCGCCAGGGCTCTCGCCGCCTAGCGCCGGGCTCTCGCCAGGCTCGCCCTCGCCGCCTGACAGCGCCGCCACCCCCAGGAGGCTGCCGCACATGAAGAACGCGCATGACATCACGAACCCGTACCAGAACCAACCGCTCCCGACCTCGCAAGCAGAAGTGGCCACGAAGGCCAATGATGCGGAACAAACGACGACGGCCAGACAACTGCCCAGCGACGATTCGAGACTCGGGTAGATTGCCTTCCAGATCTCCAGCTCAACATCTGGATACTCGGAACACATGCAGTAAAATATACTGCACCCCACCAGCAAGCCGCCAACGACGGCGAACAGGATTGCAAGCCAGCAAGGCAGCTGGGCGACGAGTACCAATTTCAGGGCGAAGAAAGTGATGAGGGGCGCCGTGGCTGCAACGCACCACCCGAGTACCCGAGTATGTTTCTCTGCCAAGCCCTTGATAAAAGCCTTCAGATTCATGCATCTGTCCCAGAGCTGCTTGAGCTCCCTACAGGATTTGGCGTGCTCTTTAGCTCGTTCCTCGTGCCTTATGGCCTCGAGCTCCCTGCTCTCCAACATTAACAAGGCGTGCTCCTTCGAGAGTTGTTGTGCTGCTTGTGGTGGTGCTGCCGGTTGGCGGTGGTCGGTGATGGGTGGTGGCAGGCGCTGCTGGTCGGCTGGGGTCGGTGCTGCTTGTGGTGGTGCCGCTGGTTGGCGGTGGTCGGTGATGGGTGGTGGCAGGCGCTGCTGGTCGGCTGGGGTCGGTGCTGCTTGTGGTGGTGCTGCTGGTTGGCGGTGGTCGGTGATGGGTGGTGGCAGGCGCTGCTGGTCGGATGGGGTCGGTGCTGCTCGTGGTGGTGCCGCTGGTTGGCGGTGGTCGGTGATGGGTGGTGGCAGGCGCTGCTGGTCGGCTCGGGTCGGTGTTGCTTGTGGTGGTGCTGCTGGTTGGCGGTGGTCGGTGATGGGCGGTGGCAGGCGCTGCTGGTCGGCTGGGGTCGGTGATGCTTGTGGTGGTGCTGCTGGTTGGCGGTGGCCGGTGATGGGTGGTGGCAGGCGCTGCTGGTCGGCTGGGTCGGTGCTGCTTGTGGTGGTGCCGCTGGTTGGCGGTGGTCGGTGATGGGTGGTGGCAGGCGCTGCTGGTCGGCTGGGGTCGGTGCTGCTTGTGGTGGTGCTGCTGGTTGGCGGTGGTCGGTGATGGGTGGTGGCAGGCGCTGCTGGTCGGCTGGGGTCGGTGCTGCTTGCGGTGGTGCCGCTGGTTGGCGGTGGTCGGTGATGGGTGGTGGCAGGCGCTGCTGGTCGGCTGGGGTCGGCGCTGCTTGTGGCGGTGCTGCTGGTTGGCGGTGGTCGGGGATGGGTGGCGGCAGGCGCTGCTGGTCGGCTGGGGTCGGTGCTGCTTGTGGTGGTGCCGCTGGTTGGTGCTGGTCGACGGTGGGCGGTGGTGAAACCCTCCGAATGGTTGTGTTCGAAAATTCTGCATAACCCATCCAGAGGTGGTTCTTGTTCAACGGCCGGGCAGCTTCGATTTCAGAGAGGCTCGAGCCCGCCTGCTCTTGCAGAATCTTTTCAAGGGCGCGTTGCTCAGCGCACTCGGTGTACAATTTTTTCGTTCCTCCGCCGTTTCGGCTTGATTATCGTAGGAAAAGGTTATTGTCATACGCTGCTCGGATTACATTCTCGAGGACACCAGCCGCATCTTCTGCCGCGGACTCGTGCTCTTCACTCGCCTGCCGAAGAAATATCTGCACCAGCTCCTCGGGCGTATACTCACGAAATGTGAAGCGCGCCGTTTCTGGGAAGCGTCGCGGCAGGCCCGGGTCTGCCGCGAGAAAATGTTGTTTGATCTCCTCCTCGTAGCCTGCGATGATGATGCCGATGTCCTGCGCATGATCGCCCAAAAACTGCATCACCTGGATCAGCGCCCGCCGCGCGTAGAGGTCGCCATCGGTGAAAAAGGCGCTCGCCTCGTCCAAGAAAAGGACGTTCCCCATATTTTTGGCCAGAAAGTTTTGAACCTTCTGAGGCGTCTCTCCCATGTACTTGCCCAACAAATCATTCGCGGCCATTGGCGCAAATGTAGAATGAGCCCATTTTTTAGACAATTTCGCCACGAACACATGGCCGATGAGCTTCGCCGCCGTGGTCTTTCCGGTGCCGGGAGGGCCTTCCAAGATTGCCGCATCGTAGTTCCCCTGGTGCCCAATGATGAGCCACTTGAGGACTTTCCTCTTGAGGTTCCACATCCCGACCAAGGAATCCAAGTCCTTGAGGTACTTCAACGGCGGCGGAACGAACGAACGAACGAACGGCGGCTCGGGGCCCCGACAACACGTGCGAAGGGAAAAGCGCTCTGCGCCCTGCTGTTGTGCCGTCGGACAGCCTCTCCACCGTCTCGACGTACTCGCGCCCGTAGAAACTGGTTGTCTCACAGGCATTGATCGACTCCGCCGACGTCACATCGTTATCCATGGCATACGCTCGAAGATTCGCACGCTCCACCTGGCCGCGAATGACGCCCTTCTCGCAGGCGTCGCTCATGATGCGCGTCGTCATTTGCTTGCCGACGTAGTTCGCATTTTCTCCGCGCAGCTGCCGGGAAACCGCAGGGAAACGCAAGAGTGCCCCAGGAGGCCGCCAGAGACCCCCAAGAGGCCCCCGAGACGCCCCAAGTAACAACCAAGGAAACCTCCCAAAGGCTCCGAAACGGCCCCCAAGTTGCTTGAAAACTGCATTCAACGGTCCCCCGAGAGGCGCACCGCGAGATCCCGATACACATACAAGAAATCTCTCACCCATAACCCATGAACCAGAGCCTTCTGTCCGTGCCCCCATCCTTCTCCCCCCCCTCCCCCTCCAACTCGGCCCGTGAAGAAGGGTTCCACGCGATCCTCCGATGAGGCTCCCGGGTGCGCGGATAACCCTGACACGCCAACCCCCAGTCCCCAAAGGCGAGGACTCGAGCCCGCCGTGGGCGCGCAGGCACGGGCGCGGCAGCGGCGCATCTCCTCCTGCGTCTCATTCCCCCCCTCCTCCCCCTCCTGCTCCGCCTCCTCCTCCTCCTCCTCCTCCTCCTCCTCCTCCTCCTCCTCCTCCTCCTCCTCCTCCTCTCCGCCACCTCTCCTTGCTCCTCTTCCTCCGGCTCATCCTCGTCTTCTTCCTCCTCCTCCTCCTTCCCCGCTGGGCCCAAGGCAATGGTGAATGTAAGTCCCTCAGAATGGGTCGGAATCCGCCACCGTGCCTCGGGCACGGAGTGGGCGTGTCCTGGGGCCGAATGCCTCAGTCCTCATCCACAGGAGTCTTGAAGCGACCGGGACTCTGAATTCTCGAATCTCTCAGGGCTGCCCTCGTGAACCTAGATAGCCCCAAAAGGGGCCACGACGACGACCCCAAGACAGCGCCCACGCCGGGCCAAAACGGCCCCGAGAGAAGCAATTATTCTCAAGACGCCCCAGATGGACCCAAAACTCCCACGAAAGATTCGAAGACGACCGCAGAAGACACAAAGGAGAGAGGAAGAGAGCGAGAGAAAGAGAGGAAAAAACACGCCCAAACACACACGCGCATTGCCCCGGCCTACCCATACTCCATATGAACACTACCCCCCTGTTGCAGGAAAGCTCGCGGGGACCACCTGAAACCAAAGAAAACACGAGGCCTGATTTGGGGTCGGCGGCAGAGGCGGCAGCCTTTAAATTATCTTCTATGCTGTCATGACGAGACTCGCTATCCTTACGAGATGAGCAAGGACAGGCGCAAGGACACGACTCCCTGCTTTTATCATCGTCCGTCTGCCCCTCCGAAAGCATTTTATTCCAAAATGTGGAATACCTGCCCCGCCACCACATCTCCCGTTCTCCAAGATCCTCCCTCTCGTCTGGCATGATTCGGTGATGTTGATCGGGGTTCGATACTGGAAAGGGTATATTTCACAGTCGGATGCTGAGCCAAAATGGCTACGGAATACGCTCGGGAGAGTCTTAGAGACGCACACGCGCTCCCAAGTTGTAGACGGCAGGACACTTCCAAGCTATTTCGCGTATTTCGAGGGTCTCGGGGCCGTGCTGGGGCGGTCTTGGGCCGTCTCGGGGGTCCAGTGGCCGTATTCAGCCTCCAGTGGGGCCAGTTTGGGCCCTTTCAGCCTCATCTTCGGCCCGTCGCGGAGCCTTCTTGGCCCTGGCCACGCGGGCGGTGAGAGCGCGAGGTGTCTCGAATAGACTTCCCCACGATGCGGTCGGCCACTGCATAACTCATCGACCACACATGAATTGCCGTACGCAGAAGGGGTCCCGAAGGAAACGGCTCCTGGACCCCAGGGCGTTCCCAGGGACCAGCGTTTCACCCTGGCTTGCATTTTAACTCGGGGGGGGGAAGCCTGGGAGGGCCCAAGCGGATTGAAAAGTGCGTACGAATTCGGGACCCCTTGCCCTCAAGACCCTTCTTCTTCCTGATGACTGAAGCGGGGCACGGTCCTCCCACCGGTCGTCGTCCCGAGGGCGGTCCCGGTCACGGTCATCCCGGCGGTCGTCACCGCGGCGGTCGTCGCCCCGGCGGTCGTCGCCGCGGCGCTCGTCGCCGCGGCGGTCGTCGCCGCGGCGCTCATCACCGCGGCGGTCGTCGCGGCGCTCGTCGCCGCGGCGCTCGTCGCGGCGCTCGTCGCCGCGCCGTTCGTCACGGCGATCGTCGCCGCGGCGCTCGTCACGGCGGTCGTCGCCGCGGCGCTCGTCGCGGCGCTCGTCGCCGCGGCGCTCGGCACGAGGGTCGTCGCGGCGGTCGTCACCGCGACGATCTCGGTCATCACGCCTGCCATCTCCATCTCCTGCGGCCGCCAGGCAGACCAAGTGAAGGAGCTCTTTCTCATCCCCATCCTCCTCCCTTGCTCTTCCCTTCCCTTTTATTTCCCCTCCCCGACCTCACATCATCATCATCATCATCATCATCATCATCATCATCATCATCATCATCATCAGCAGCAGCAGCAGCATCATCATAATCATCATCACCACCACCATCACCATCACCATCACCATCATAATCATCATCATACTCATCATCAGCATCATCAGCATCATCAGCATTATCAGAATCATCATCACCATCATCTGCATCATCAGCATCATCAGCAGCAGCCGTATGGTCATCATCATCGTTATCAGCATCAGAATCATCATCATCATCAGCAGGAGCAGCATTATCATCATCAGCATCATCAGCGCCATCATCATCAGCAGCATCATCAGCATCATCATCGTCAGAAGCATCAGCAGCAGCATCATAATGATCATCAGAATCAACATCATCATCATCGTCATCATCATTGTCGTCATCACCAGCAGCAGCATCATCGTTATCGTCATCGTCATCATCATCATCATCATCATCATCATCATCATCATCATCATCATCATCGTCCTCCTCAACCTCATATCATCAGCATCATCAGCAGCATCGTCATCATCAGCATCAGCATCAGCACCATCATAACCAACATCAGCATCATCATCACATTCATCAGCATCGTCGTCGTCATCATCAGCATCAGCATCATCGTCGTTATCAGAAGAATCACCATCAACAGCAAGATCAACAATCACACCAACGACAACAACAACCACAGCCACAACAACAAAACAACAAGAAACAACTACAATAACAACAACAGCAACAACAACAACAAAAATTATCCCAGCGCGACCCTACCTAGGAGTTGGAGCATCTAGGAAAGCAACATCTACATCTACACCGACAGCTACATTAATATCTACACCTGCATCTACATCTACATCAACATCATCAGCGAGACTCACATCTACATCTACATCCACACCTACATCTACACCTACATCTACATCTACATCTACACCTACATCCACACCTACACCTACACCTACATCTACATCTACATCTACACTGTCGCATTGGTTTTGCATGTGCTTTGCATGCTATGCTATGCTATGCTATGCTATGCTATGCTATGCTATGCTATGCTATGCTATGCTTGGCTATGCTAATGCTATGCTATGCTATGCTGTGCTAATGCTGCGCTGAGCTATGCTGCGCTGCTCTGCGCTAAGCTAAGGTAAGCTAAGCTGTGCTTCGCTATGCTGTGCTATGCTATGCTGCGCTATGCTATGCTATGCTGTGCTATGCTGCGCTATGCTATGCTATGCTATGCTATGCTATGCTATGCTGCGCTATGCTATGCTATGCTATGCTATGCTATGCTGCGCTATGCTATGCTGCGCTATGCTATGTGATGCTATGCTATGCTGTGCTATGCTATGCTATGCTGCGCTGTGTTATGTTAAGCAATGCGATGCTATGCTATGCTATGCTGCGCTATGCTGTGCTATGCTATGCTATGCTGAGCTATGTTATGCTATGCTATGGTATGATATGCTTGGCTATGCTATGCTATGCTATGCTATGCTGTGCTAATGCTGCGCTGCGCTATGCTGCGCTGCGCTAAGCTAAGCTAAGGTAAGCTAAGTTAAGCTAAGCTAAGCTAAGCTCAGACAAGCTAAGCTAAGCTAAGCTAAGCCAAGTTAAGCTAAGCTAAGCTAAGCTAAGCCTAGCTAAGCTAAGCTAAGCTAAGCTAGGCTAAGCAAAGCGGGGGATCCTGGGGGAACCGCGGGGCGGATGCCGGGGGAACCGCCCGGGGCGTAGTCCACTGCCCGGCCCCTTAAGCTTATACGGTAAGAACCCGTCTAGGCAGAGCCTAGGTAGGGAACAAACAACCAACAACAAACAGCAAAAACAACAACAACAATAAAAAAAACAACACAACGACAACCATCATGTTAAGACCGTTCGCTCCTATCTGCTCGCGTGCCATTCAACACATGTATCCCAAACCCGCGGTACCCGCACACTTCGTCTTCGATCGTACCCCTTGGGGGTATAGCTTCCTTACCTGCCACATGCATTTAGAGCAGCCCCTAAAACATGGGAAGAGAGGACGGGTGGAAGGGGAAGGGAGAAGGATGGAGCAAGAGAGAAATCAGCAGTGGGGGCCAGGAGTAAAAAACACGCGGCAGAACCAGCGGGAAGGCGGGCCCAGGCGGCCAGATCCAGCTGGCGGGTTGCCAAAGCGTGAGTCCTGCATGAACCGCGAGGAAGTCTCGAGCGATAGCGCGATTCCCAAGTAAATCCTGGGAAGAGCCAAAGCGAGAGCTTGATTCCTGAGTGCCGAGGGCGCGGCGTTTGAATAAATTGCGAGGAAGTCCCACGCGAGACCGCGGTTCCTGCATAAATTGTGAGGACGTCCCGCGCAAGAGCGCAAATTTGGAATACATTGTGAGGACATATCAGGCGGGAGCTGTTGTTGTTTAAAGTCGGGGGCCATCGCCCCAATCTGAGCCCCACGACTTCCCCTTGTAAACAACAAGGTTCGAGCCTCGGGAGGAGCTCTTCAATTGGAAAAACAGAATGAGCGCCGAAGGGGGATCACCAAACGACTGGTCTTAAGAATAAGAGCAACAACAATTACAACTAACAACAACAACAACAACAACAACAACAACAACAACAACAACAACAACAACAACAACAACAGCAACCACAACAACAGCTACATCAACAACAACAGCAGCAACAACAACAACCACGACAACGACCACAACGAAAACAACCACAACAAAAACGACAACAACAACAACAACAACCACAACAACAGCAACCGCAGCAGCAGCAGCAGCAACAACAATAATCAAAGTAAGTTTCTTCGCTCTCATCTGCTCGCGGGCCCTTCAACACGTCTATCCCAAACCCTCGATACCCGCCCTCTTCGCCTTCGACCGTGCCCCCTTGGGGGTGTATATCTTTCTTACCTGCAATGTGTATTTCGTGCAGCCCCTACGGCTGGGGAAGAGAGGACGAATGGAAGGAGGGGTCAAGGGGGAGGGAGGAGGATGGAACAGTAGAGAGAGTAGCAGGAGGGGGGCTAGGAGCAGAAAACACCTGGCAGAACTACACGGGCAGATCGGGCGGGTAGACCCTAACAGGCGGTCTTGAAGGGGGGCCCAGGCGGCCAGGTCGAGCAGGCGGGTTGCTGAAGCGCGCGTCCTGCATGAATCGAAAGGAAATCTCGAGCGATAGCCCGATTCCCAAAGAAATCGTGAAGAAATCCACAGCGAGAGCATGATTCCTGAGTGTAGAGGACGCGGCGTCTGAATCCATGTCGAGGAAATCCCATGCGAGAGCGCGATTCCTGTATAAATTGTGAGGGCATCCCGCGCGAGAGCGCGATGTGGGAATTAATTATGAGAATATATCATGCGGGAACCGCTGTCGTTGTAAGTCGGGTGCCAAAGACACAATTCTGAGATCCACGACTTCCCTGATGAAAAAACGGGGTGCGAGCCCCGGGAAGGGCACTTCAATTGAAAAAACACAATGTGCCCCAGATGGGGGAATCAACTATAACTATTCTGCTGTACTGGGAACTCAACAACAACAACAACAACAACAACAACAACAACAACAACAACAACAGCAGCAGCAGCAGCAGCAATAACAACAACAACAACAACAACAACAACAACAACGACAACAACAACAACAACAACAACAACAACAACAACAACAACAACAGCAGCAGCAGCAGCAGCAGCAGCGCAGCAGCAACAGCAGCAGCAGCACAACAATAACAACACCAACACCAACACCAACAACAACAACAACAACAACAACAACAACAACAACAACAACAGTAACAACAACGACGACGACGACGACGACAACAACAACAGCACTCAATTGACCCTCATGCGCGATGTTTCCACGCGAAACATGCGACCATTATGATAACCATCCCCATCATGGCGGATTATTGTTCTATAGAGGGGTCCGTTATTCCCATTCCCGGATCTCCCGCCCGATGAGATCTTACAAACAGCTCCTCCGAGGAATTTCAACATATCCCGCCTCGAAAACGCATCCCCGCGCCTTGCTGCGCCGATGCGAGACCGCCAGTGGAGACCCAGCCAGGGGTAAAGCCCAAGGAAGTAACGAGCGACAGGATTGCCTTGCTAAGGATGGGGGCTGTCGGCGGCGAGGCAAGGACCTGGCCCTGAATAGAAAGGGGAGTCTCGAGCAGGGCCGCTGTTGTTAAGTAGGGCGCTAGTCCAACGTAAAACAAAACGAAGTCTCGAGCGGGAACGCTGGTGGCGGCGAGGAGGAACACCGCCTTGCGTAAGAAGGGAGGAAGTCTCGAACGGGAGCCGTGGTTTTGTCGGGACGGGGGCTGTCGGCGGCGAGGAACAGCACCGTCCTGAGGAAAAAGAGAAGAATCCTCGAGCGGGAGCGTTGTTCTTGCTGGGAGCGGCGCCAATTCAAAAGAGAGTATCCAGCGCAAAACGGGAGGAAGTCTTGGGCGGGAGCGCTGGTTTTGTCGGGACGGCGGTTGTCGGCGGCGAGGAGGAGCACCGTCTTGAGTAAAGAAGGGAGGAAGTCTCGAGCAGGAGCGTTGTTGTTGCTGGGGGCGGCGCCGATGAGAGAAAGAGTAGCGCGCCAGTCCAAGGTAAAACAGGAGAAAGTCTTGAGCGGTAGCGCTGGTTTTGTTAGAACGGCGGCTTTCGGCGGCGAGCAAGAGCACCGGCCCTGAGTAAAAAAGGAGGAAGTCTCGAGCGGGAGCGTTGTTGTTGGGGGGCTGGTTTTGGCGCCCCGCCAAACCGCTCGAGCGTGAGCGTCATCTTCATTGGAAATGTAGCCAGCGCGCCGAAGCGAGAGCGTCAAAGCGTCAGAGCGTTCAACAACAACAACAACAACAACAACAACAACAACAACAACAACAATTACCAGCACGTGGGGACACTCCGTTCTCACCAGTGCCAGGGTTTTCATACGACGC